CCCCCCCCCCCCCCAGATACCCCGAAAGGACGCGCGCGTTTCTCCGTGTTGATATTTGTACGAGCGCTACCACTGCGTTGCGTTATTTTTCATAACGCAACGCTTTTGCGTAGGGTTAGAGAAATAACTCAACGGCATGAGGTATTGGCTATTTACCGCACGCAAAAGCATTGCGGTATATAGAGCACATTACGTGCACGCGTGAGGAAAAATTCTATGTGTAGCGAGTTGGGGGCATATTTGTCTATAGGTCGGCACCAGCGCTTGTGCGCGCGCTCGCGCCCGTCCCGCGCTATAAACAACTATCCCCCACTGTTACACAATGTACTATTGTCATATACATTTAACAAATATTTTCCTTTTATCAAGACATTCTCAAAATGTTTAATAAATCCTATATATAATTATTAAACAACATATGTCAAAGTTAAGGTCATCGATGCAATATCCGTTAATACGAGTAATTTATAATTATTTATTATGAGTACAAATTAGTTCGATCCACTTTTTTGTGTTCAAAAATGCATTTATTTAAAAACAAAATGAATGAACAGATTAATTAAAGTATTGTCCATCGCTGGCTACTACTTTTTCCCATCTGTCAGGCAATTTTCGAATTCCATCTCGAAAAAATGACTCGTCTTTGGAGGCGATTTTGGAACCAATTTTCGATTTCTGCGAAAGAACTGAACCGATGACTTGCCAATAAATCGTGTTATCAGAAGGAGTAATGTCCGGAGAATACGACGGGTGCGGTAAAACATCCCATTTGAGCGTTTCTAAATATTTTTTTATGATTTTTGCGACATGAGGCCGAGCGTTGTCATGAAGAAAAATAACTTTTATCACGTCTTTGCTCGTATTCCGGTCGTTTTTCTCGCAATGCATGGCTCAAACAAATCAATTGTAGCCGATACCGATCGCCCGTAATGGAATCGCCAGGTTTCAGCAGCTCACTATATGAGCTTTTTGGTCCCACCAGATACAGAGCATAATCTTCGAACCATGAATGTTCGGCTTTGGTGTTGATGTTGAGATCGATGGCAACGATTGACCGGGCTTAGAATAGTATTTTTTCTTCTTGGGGTTGTCGTAGAATATCCACTTCTCATCTCCAGTCACAATCCGCAAAAAACCTTTTCTTTGTTTCAGTCTTTGAATCAGCTGCTCGCAAGTGAAAAATCGCCTTTCAACGTCTCTCGGTTTCAGTTCATAAGGCATCCAATTTCCTTGTTTTTGAATCATTTCCATGGCTTTCAATCGTACAGAAACGACTTGTTGAGTTACTCCCAATGATTCTGCAAGCTCCTCTTGCGTCTGATCTTCTTCGAGTAATGCCTCTAATTCTTTGTCTTCGAATTTTTTTGGCTGTCCAGAGCGAGGCTTGTCTTCAACGCTGAAATCTCCATCCTTGAAACATCGAAACCATTCCCTACCTGATTAATCAGTTGGAGCAGTGTCACCATAAACTTTGACAAGCATTCGATGGGCTTCAGCTGCACTTTTCTTCTAATTAAAGCAGAAAATTAAAACCTCCCGCAAATGCTGCTTGGTTAACAGAAAATTCGACATTTCAAACACAATAAAAATCAAGGTTTTTGTATGAAACTCAAAGCGATATAAACGAATATTATTAGCGAATATTATTAGTAGATGTCTAATCTCTCTGAAATCACCAAAATCAGCTGTCATGAACCATTTACAACAGTCGGAGCAATCTTTTGGAAAACGGACCGAACTAATTTGTACTACCAATATATTATTATTAGATAAAAAGGTTTAAATTTTTGAGTATCTTTTTTTGAATATGGCTTGAACTTTTCATTTCTATGATATGATTTTTTTCGGATAAATTTATTTACAGATTTTCAGTACATTAACGTCTTCTTAAAATAATGCCAATTAATAAATCATTTATTATTGTAAAAGAATGATGTTATGTAAGAGAAATCTTTCATATAATTTTGTTAAAAAATATGGTGATGATACCTTGAAAAATCAATTTTTTCGAAAAATTTATTTAACCATTATATTTGTCTTTCTATCGATTCTGCAACTCCTAAAATTTTTTTTAGAAATGTTTTTTTTCTTGCGAAATATACTTAATAAATTTAAAATTAATCATCCTGGCCTGTATGTATATGTAGTACATTGTACATATATTAATTCGAAGCTTAACAACGATAGTTCATAATGTCAACTAATGAAGAAATGGTTTCTTTTACATATCTCCTTGTTTTTGTACATATTTGATGACAAAATATGTCATTAGAATGCAAAATGGGAAGACGTAATATATGTATTTTGAATTTGATCTTCATAATAGAATTCAATGGAAAACTTACTTTGACGTAGGGATAAAGATTGAAGTGCTTCGCATAGCTCATGAGATATTTTCTTATTACACTGTGATGAACGAAAGACGGGCCACCTAGATCTTGAAAGGGAAAGTCAGGTATTGCCATTATTTCCTTTGGTATATTTGTTCTGCAAGAAGAATGAAAGCAATATTCGCTCTCTCAGTAATGAGGTAATCATATGCACGATTTTTATTAATTTTTATGTATCTTTTGAACTCCGCCGCAGAGTTCAAAAGATATATAGTGACCTATAAGAATGGCGATAAACATAGTTGCTAGTTGTTAGCAACTTAGCTCCGAAATAAGCTCTAGTCTACTTTGAATTTGCACGATAGACATAAACATAATTGTTAAGATCTTTTCTTCTTGTTATGGTTAAGTGTATTCTACATTACAGCGAAAAAAAAATATTTTTCAGAAATATTTCTAATTCTTTCTATTTTTTGCTGATATTATTCGATGCGTTGTTTAACATGTGTATATATACATATATACGTATAATATTGTTAATTTTTATTAATGCGCTTTTTAAATATAATATTAAGTTTGATACAATCACGCCTTTCAGGACATATAACGTTCGATTCCAAATTTTTTATATTTTAGTAGTTATACACCCCCCAAAAATGAACTTATTTGGTGGCTCGGAGACTTGTACCTAGTAGTGTTTTTCAGTTTTTGAACATGGCCGGAGATACTACTGCGTCTCCTTACTAGATGTGACACATAGATTTAAAAATCACAGGATAACAAAAGAAACTTCTTCTTTTTTTAAAAAAAAATTTGCACTAGATGTGCAAATTCTAATTAAGAGAGAGGGATTCTATTAAACGTTTTATTTTTAACTTTATGTACGAAGAATCTAGTTCTTATATGTAACCGTACTTTATATGTTTTAATGTTATTTACACTATGATGATCCGATAAGGGTAGAAACGTTTGTAAATTTTGTATTTTATTAATTTGTATTTTATATTGTGTTTATATTAAAGAGCATCTCACAACCTAGCTTAGACTCGTATCCTATTTTTATTGTTTTTAATTATTGAGTCTCATTATTATTAATAATTTTTAGACATTTTTATTTTATACTAAACTATATAGAAATTAATAACATTGAAATAATTTAAATTTAGTGCTTTTATTGCTTTACAGTAATTAAAAAATGTAATTATTAAATATTTTATTCAAAACAATGGTCTTCAACATTGAGACAAATACATTGCATCTATGAAAGAATGAGTGACTGATTGACATTATGCATATACATATAATTTTTATTTTACCATAATTTTCACTTCATTTTTAATTTTATTTTACGCTTGCATTATCCTTTATTTTAATTTTTGAAGATAATTAACGAGAACTTCATACACTTTTTCTTCAGAACAGACAAAATCAAGAGATATATATATTTCCGATTTCGATATTATTTATTCCTATAGCGTTCAGTTACTTCAGAAGTCGATCTTAAACGCGAAGCGTTTGTGAGTAAACTTTCATAGAAAAATTTTGCTTATTTTGAGGTCCTAAGTTCATATTTTGTGGTTTAATCCGGCAACACATCCTGTAGGTACACATAAAAATGTTATGCAATGCTTTCTATTTATTTACTTAAAATTTACGGTCTCACCTGAGATTCTTGTACATGCTGCTGTGAATCAAAAGTTCGTGTTTGTCAAGATCTGTTTCATCAGTATACACCCACGTGCCACCGATTTGATCGGTTTGTTCGAAGAGAATGAGACTATAAGTATTTAATTTGGCCACTACATGGCGGGCTACCACCAAACCAGCCACTCCACCACCCACAATAGCGATTCTCGTTTTACTACTCGGCATGATTTCTCAATAAAATATCTAAAAAAGATACATATATCTATATATTAACCGTATTTTGAAAATTTAATAAAAACGAAGCGGAAGAATGAGATCAAATAACATTTAGAAAAAAAATAGGTAACTGAAAATAAATACAAAAGAAGAATGTACCAGAGACCGAAATTACATTTCAGAATAAAATTTCGAACCGGTTATATGGTCCGAGACTACTTTCGATTTCGATATCAGTTCCCGGTCCTTTTAGCGATATAATGGTGACCGTTACAATTGTATGAATACCGAAACCAACAAAACTCAAATCTAAAAAAGACCTCGGTAACCATTATAGGGTAAAAGAATTGGAACCAAGAATTAAATTTAGCTTTGAATAACTGTTATGAATGTAGGGCGAGTTTTTTAATTAATCAATCTATTAATCAATCGTATTGTGCGCAAATGTAATTTTATTCCGTAAAAACTGCATTTGCGAATAATGTGATTGACCAATCGATGAATTAAAAAACTCACCCGTACATTGAAACTATAAAGATAACGTATATATATGTTGAGAAAGTTACCTTACAAGTTTTTATTATAGAAATTGAATACAATGTGTTCGAGTATTTTATTTTTTATATTATTTTTATCATTTGCTTCAATTTTGTATTACTTTTTTATATTACAGTTTTGTACTCAATTTTTATAACAAACATATAAGGCAACTAAAAAAAGTAACACATAAGTAGCTTAAAAATAACTTGCCGAACTCTGCGATGATATTACATACGTTTCTTCTTTCCAGTAAAATTGAGTCACACAATAATATATTTCTGAATTGATAAGCAACAAGTTTAATTTGGCAGTACTATCACCAAACAATTTAGATTTAATTTCACTGATATTAATCCTCACTGTTAGATTATTTCAGCTTGTCAATATAAAAATATGCAGATGATGTCCTGCTAGTAAAATTGTCTACGATTTGAGATATTGAAATGAAGAGAGCAATGAATACGACATTTAACGCAACAAATGTCGGAGACATTGATATTTCGATCTGATTCGGCCAAAGGCTGAAATAAGACTGACCAACGAAAGCAAGTCTACATATACTATTCTCGTTAGGCAGTCTCTTCGCTCTGACATTCTACATATGGAAAACATTTTCTCGGGTTTACGCCACTATTCCCTTCTTTTTCTGATGAAATAACTGTGGGTTTACGATCAACATCGTATTGCTCCGTGTTCACATAAGAAAGCGAAAGAGAGAGGGAGAGATAGAGAGAGAGAGAGAGAGAGAGAGCGAGAGAAAGGAAGAAAGTAAATGGGACAGAGGGAGGGAGACTGATTAAACTCCCATTAATAAAAATATAATTTTGAGCGAGAAATTTCGGGTTCATCGCAGTTCATAGGTTGGCTACATTTACACCGTGCATTTAGGCCGCGGTCTAAACAATAGATGCCTTGTTTATCCTGTAGGTTAAACAAAGACACCTATCGTATAGATCGCGGACTAGGCGCACGGTGTAAACTGTAAACGTAGCCATTAATTCAATAAGTAGAAAAAGTAAACATCATATTTATAAACATAATATTTCAGAACTCGCGCGACATTTAATATAAAAATTATTCTAAATATAAAAATATTGAAAAAGAGCATTAAAGAGTCAAAATACAAATAAATTGTTATGCAAACATGCATAAACATATGTTAATCAAAATCACTTAACCTACTTAAACTACTTAAATTCTAATTAAAGATAACTTAAATCTAAATCAAAAACTTTGAGTAATATAATATAACCAGTTTCGGCTCTTGGATTGAGGCCTCTTCAGACATCGGATTATCGCTTGAATTATCGTAACTTTCGTAAAACCACGTATGTTCTTGGAGAATCACGAAATGAAATTGTATTAATCTTGTGAGTATCCATGTGGAACATGACTCCGATGGAAGCCAGTTAAAAACTGTATGTAAAAAGTAAAATTTCTGTATATAATACAAGAGTCGTTAAACGTGTCATTAAATATAAAATAATAAAATAAGTCAAAATTCCAAATAGAGAAACTCACCAACGAGACCATATATGAAATTAATTAAATGAGAAGATTAATTCATCTGTTAGCGTAAGATAATATCTACTAATTTATAGTATGTAAATTAAAAACCAAAAATTGTAGCACAAAATTTTTGACGCAAATATCAAATTTCCAACAAGGAAGCATCGTATGTTCGATGTGCGAAAAAAACTGTCAACTAATGTGACATATCAATATATAGATTAAACATGAAAGGCAAATCAACAGATCGAAATATGAAGATCTTCAGTATCAGTCTTCAGATTGAGACTATGTTTCTGCTTTTTAATATTTAACATTTCTGATATTAAGTGCTTTCTATAACATAGTTCTTCATCTAAAATCTTTATATTGTCCCATTGTGGCAATCGTGATCATGCTATGTTCAGTTACAGATCGTGCCGATGTATTGTATCTTATATGATTCCGATGTTTGTTAATTCTAGTTTTTTATTTTCTACCGATCTGTCCAACGTAAGACACGTCACAATCGTCACACTGAATTCTATATAATTATTCTTCGAGTTTTGAGGAAGATAGTCCTTTTGTACTGTAAGTAGACTAACTTGCAAGACTTGCAGCTTGCAGTAGTTTGTAGTCACTTGTAGTTTTGCTGCTGCATTTATTCGGTTCTAATAATAAGAGTTTGAAGTTTTGTGCAAAAACGCAATGAGTCTTGACATTGATGATATATATATATATATATATTATAAAATATATATTATTATAAAAAAAATTAATATAATAAAATTTTGGTATGTTCTAAAATCTAAATAATTTTTTTTTATTGTCTTGATTTGTTGATCTTGATTTCTATGTATAATTCGTTCAAAAGTTATGATATTTTTTGTGCGCGCATGCGATGCTCCATTTCGCTTGGCGTCTTGTCGACGCGCTTCGCAACTTTACTGCGCAAAGCACATCTTGCATAATTTCTTACGTGAAAAGTATTGCTCGTACGATAAAAACTTATAAAACCTTTTATATGTAAAATTTTCCATTCTTTAATTTTTCTCTCTCATATTTTCTTGGTAAAATTGATATTTATCGAGATATTTGCAAAAAATCGAAATTTGAGCCCTATTTAAGTTTAATTATTTTTCTTAGCGGCCACTGTACAATGGTAAACTTTTTTTCTCTTTCAATCTTATGCAAAAATAAAGGTCTATACAAAAATTTACTCTGATGGTATTTTTTGGAGGTTAAATCCTATATAGACTGTATTACAGTGTGACAATTTTACGGAACTTTCAAAAGGTATACGAAGAATTAAATATTTTATTAAATATGTGTAGTATACATCATATAATTATAATTTAAATAAAAAATTTTAATTACATGCGCGATTAAAAGCAAAATTTAAAATTTATTTTTATTCGTTCTATTCGAAAAAGAATAAATTAATATTCAACATATTGTGGGCACACTTTCATTCTTATTATACTATTTATATGTATATCAATCTATGAAAATTTAAAGGAGGGAGTGTAAAAATGGCCAAAATTGGCACTGAATGGACACCTTTAAAATCTATGTAGTTGTTATTAGAAAGTCCGTAGATTCATGGAAAAATACTTATTTATTCAAGAAGCTTGGGAAACCTTCCAAAAATAATAAAATAAGTCGTTTAAATGTTCTGCAAAGAAACTCATTTTGTTTTCTAATAAACGTTGATAGATTTCAAAATAGTTCATGTTTACATCTAACATATGTTGGATCATGAAATACTATAAGAATACACTACCAGGTAAATCTACACACGCACGCACGCACACACACACACACACACACATAGTGGTAAATATATGATATCTACATATATATTGTATATATACGCCCAGCTTATCTTTTATGATAAAAATATAAGCATAATTGGTTATATATATATATAAAATATTATTTAAAAAAAATATGTGTGTGTGTAGATCTACCTGATAGTGTATAATTCTTATAATATTTCCTGATCCAACATATGTTAGATGTAAATATAAATCATTAATTTTGAAATCTATCATTTATTAGAAACAAAATGAGTTTCTTTGCAGTAAACGACCTATTTTATTATTTTTGGAGGTTACCCAAGCTTCCTTGGATAAATAAGTATTTTTACATTTGAATCTACGGACTTTCTAAATGACAACTGCATAGGTTTTAAAGAGGTGTCCATTTAGGGCCAATTTTGGCCATTTTTACACTCCCTTCTTTTGGAAGTTATTATTATTGCTCCTTTTCATAATATTATACAATAATAAATACAAAAATTCATGACAAACGATCATATTTGATATTTGATATACTGTGAACTTTTCATATATATATCTAATTAAAATTATGTATTAAGCTACTATAAGAATAATAAAAAGGAATTAAAACTTGGATATCTATTATATGTACCTATATATATGTAAATAAGATTGTAGGATATTCTTATAGATTAATATAAATAAAAAAGAGGCAAAGAGCCGATGATGTAACAAATAATAAATTTTAATTCAAATAATAATAATGTAGCTATACAAAGACATGAAACGTTTCGACTCCGATCGGCCGTCATTCTCGAAATGTTACAGTGAAGATAATAAATAAATTCGTTATCATCTGATGATTATTACAAAATTCATTATCCTTTTAAAATTTTGTTCGTATTCTTCGCATGCTTTGAGTTAATTAAAAGGTCAGATTGTATAAAATGTGATATTCTAAAAATAATCGTGAGCAAAAGAAATTGATACAAAATTAACAATAATTATAATATGATAGTGTACCTTGTCATTTATATAAGTTAATAATCCGTTAAAGAGGTAAAAATATGTATACAATTGGTAACAAAAATACAAATAATCCACCGTCACATAAAATTATTAAAATGAAGCGAATTTGCAAGAATGTTGAACAGCTAAACTCAACCACGTCAGATAACGTAATGTCGAAAAAGGAAACATATATACTAGTCACACTGAGAATGTGGGAAAGGAAAAATATTAGGAAGAGAGAGAGAGAGAGAGAGAGGGGGGGGGAGGGGCGAAGGGAAAGAGAATGTTAGAATACATCCGGCAGTGAATCCGTTTTGTTTTGTTTGTTTATTCCATATCTACAATTCCGCATAGATTACGCTTCTTTTAAGATATAGTGAATGGTTAGAGTAAAAATTAAGGAATCTGCCGAAAAAGGTTGCTTTGCGATATCCGTCGAAGATGAGACTCTGCTCGTTTATAATTAACATAGTATCCAAAAAACTTATTTTACCATCATTACCAACCTCCATAGTAAACTACAATCTATTATGTAACGAATTAAAAATATGTAAGATGTCATTAATGCTTTCAGATGAAGCCGCCAGAATAATGTCATCCACATAACGATAATAAAATGACTGGCAGCTTTGTATTGCAGTTTTTTTCAAAATTTTGCATATAACCACCATATCAATGACGATCGGTGATAAGGGTATGACCCCATAGGTGTCCTAAATATTTGTTTATAAATTTTATTGTTTTTTAAGGCTATTTTGCAGTTAGAATTGAAGAATTCATACCAATTTTTACATTTTACTAGAATTAATATTTTCGAATTTTCTGAAAATTTACGGTCTTACCAGCTCCCGTGGTATATAAATTTTTTAAATATTTGGACCACATTAGTAGTTGTCATTTTTTTCAACATACAAAAAGAATTTACGATAAGATTAACTGGTTGTGAAAAAAACTCAAAAATTAAAAAATTAAATACCTATTATGTCTGCACTATTAATAATGAAAATTAATATTATTTGAACTGAAAACTATAATATTATGTTCAATGAAGCTAATAATGGAATTTTTTCACAGATAAAAGAAATGACACATATTTCGATGAAAAATTTCGGAGAAATAGCTCCTTTAAATTCTCTAAACAAAAAAAATGGTTTTATATTTAATTTGAGTGATTCCTATTGAAGTACGTATTTGCTACAGTTAGGTGAAGGTTTTGATCTTCCGAATAATAAACAATATGGAATATACTTTAATCGAGTTCATAAAAAAACATTGAAAATAATCTTAATGGTCGCCCTAACATAATTAATTATTATAACTTTGTTAGAAACAGTGCTATTCCGATTCTTGAGAAATTTTAAAACGAATTTCTCAGAAATGATATTAACAATAAATTATTATTCAATTGGATAAAGTCAACAAAAAAATTTGTGAAAGATTATCCCGAAATACTATAATTTCCAAAGCTGATAAAGGTAATGTCACCGTTGCTTAAAATAAATCAGATTACATAAATAAGATGAAATTGATGCTTTCACAGATTGTAACACATACGAGAAAATAAAAAAAAGATCCAAAAAAAACTTACTAGTGACTTGCACAGCTTACTTAGCAGGTGGAAAAGTAAAGGGTTTATTGACTCGATATATAGAAAGCTAATTACTACTGATGGTATTATTCCGAGAGCACACGGTTTAACTAAAATCCATAAACGGAATTATCCTCTTAGGATGATAGTATCATCTATTATAATAGCCCATTTTATAATTTAGTATTATTTTTACATTATTTAACATTATTAATAATTTCATACTTGAAGCACCTAGCTTCATAAAAAATAGTTTTGATCTAATCAATCAAATTAAAAAATGTCAAACTTAAGCCAAATTCTCTTTGTTGGTTTCTTTGGATGTGATTTCACTATTCACTAACATACCAATAGATTTGGCATCTGTTGTTAGGAGATAGGATTCCGTATCTAATAATACAAAAATTCCGTTAGATGAATTTTTGATTACCCTTCAGATGGTATTAAA